TTTAGAGGCGAAGAACTCAACTAGTGCTTGGTTGACATCAGCTTCAGTTTTGAATTTTTTTCCTGTAAAAAGTTTTGCAAAAAGAGAAACAGGTGATAATCGGAAGGTGTTAGGTCTGGGGAGTATGGTGGATGTGACAGAATTTGCCAGCCTAGCTCTGCGATTTTCTGACGAGTCGCCAAAGCAGCATGTGGTCTGGCATTATCATCGGTAGCCATGTTTTCACGATCGCGTGTCATTTAATAATGACATGAGACATCTCTGTTTCAGTTTATTTAGGAGAGTACATGTGTGTAAATGCAATGATAAAGAGAGATAGTCATATATGTCTCAAATCAACACGTGCATATGGATTGAAACTTGAAGTGACACTATCGGACAGAACTTTCCGGTAGACCTAATATAATAACAAAGGATATGACATTACGCAAAGAATATAACAGCACTCATTCCTGCATTCACCGGCAGATGTCGCGGCACCACATTCTCATTTTAACAATTCTTCAACAAATTGGCTTCCAAGCCTATTTTGAAGAAATCTGTTCCTGACGTCAACATTTCTTTCGTTTAAATAAATAAATAGTAATGAGTCAAAATTAATAAGTAAAATATAATAGTAGAGAATGATAATAAATGGAGCCATCAATTAAGTCTACCCTGTATATCAACGAAGCACTCAATATTGAACAGTTAAAAGAAAAAATTATCATGGCCATCATTTTCAACAATATTTCCGGTAATAAACTTTATCGAAAATTAAATAAGAGTGACGTCGATCTTTCCGAAAACACTGCCAACAATGGAAAAAAATTTTATTCTGTGTTTTCGAGTTACTTTTTGACGTAGAATCAGCCCTTTACATGCAGGGCTGGTGAAAAACAAATTTTTGAAATAATAATTGAACTGTACATATTTTTAATATTCTCATGTGACATGGAATTTGGCAAATAACCTTTTTTTTTAAAAAAAAAAACGTAGTTACGTATGGAACTGTATTTAGTTACTGTAGTTAATTGTATTTAAAATATCATTTCCATTTGTAACTACTATTTTAAAAATATTTTACTTGCCAAATTCTTCACTGCATGAGAAGATAAAAATGTTTACAGTCTATTTACCGTTTCAAAAATCTATTTTTCGCCGGCACTGGTTACACGACACCCTGTATGAAGTCGTAAAAATGGTGTAAAAAGTAGATACATCGCTTTTAGCATACGTTTCCATTTCAGTCAACGCTGAAAGGGTCCGAGCACTTGGAACGAAGGTTTCGTTAGAGTGAAACTTTATTACAGCGCTGTTCCAAGGTGATAGTAAGAGACGGAGAGGACTAGAGTACTGTCTGTTAAGGTCGGGATCGAATAGAGGGCGGATTTTGGCTGCGATTCGTGCTCCTCGCGACCGGGACGCCGCGAAACGGCGCGGCATAAATTTTCCGAAGGCATTCCATCTTCGCGGTTTTCGATAAGAACGAATGTAAGTCGCGCGAGGGCGCCGCCGACAAACCAGAAAATAATTCACGAAACCGGGTTATCCCAGCGTATCTCGGGACGGATTTCGATTCTTCTTGGTTCTTCCGCGACATTAAGCTCGATCCAAGGGATATTAGGGGCCCTGACCCCCGTGTCGAGCGTTAATCGAACGCTATCGCGGTAACCCGAGTTTAACAGCTGACTACACAAATGCGCCGGAACAAGATCCCGCGCCGTGATATACGGGGCTGGTCCGTTCAAACTTTGCGAATCAAAAATCACAGCGTTCCGGCATCGAATGTAACAGTAAATATTGAACGCCGAGTCTCTCAAGCACCAGCAACGAGAAGAAGTTACATGTTAACGAAGAAGAATTTACCTGCGGAACGTTACTCCGAATATTGGGTCACCCTGTATAAGGGTTAAATTAATTCGTTCGATATCTTTTTATTTATCCGCTTCGTAGAAATCAGCATTGATATTTTTTATTGAAGTTAATGTAGATAGGTGATCGTTTGTGCCGGCTGTTGGAAAATTAAAATTCAAGTAATAATAATAATAATAATAATGGTAATAATAATCAGTTTATTTATAAACTCTTTGTTGCAGTGAGAGAATGTAATAATAATGTAGATAGTAATGTATATATAATGTAAACCTAAAGAGAGAAACTAAAATATAGAAAAAGATGGATGATGTGGGTCACAATGGACCCAAGCCTGAATTTCTGACTCAGTAAAAATATTGAAAATACTTTCTAATATTACATGCAGAAAATGTTCAAAGAAGAAATATTTTACTATTGTACTTTTTATATTATACTATTATATTGCATTTATTATATAATATTATTATATTATACATATTATACTATTATATTATATTTATTATATAATATTCTTATATTATACTATTATATTATTTTTATTACATAATATTATTATATTATATTTATTGTACAATATTATCATTATATTATACTTATTATTATTTTGCTTATTATTACATTTTATTATTATACTACATTATTATACTTACTATATATTTTTCTATTAACCCCTCGCTGTCACTTTTCGCAAAAAGGTGGGGTTACCAATTAACTCAATATACATAATTGGAAGTGAGATATCGAGTTTTAATATAGTAAACGATGTTCTGAAATGTTCAAGTTATAACCTCAAATTTTTTGGTCTCAATAGCATTTTCTAATTTTTGCGTGACAGTCGCTCGAATGTTATGTGACGCGTGTGCTTAGCGTAGGAAGTGTGACAAAGGAGGGTTAAAATAAAAAGAAAACGGCATTAAAAACGCGAAGCACAGAGTTGCGCGTCTTTTAACATACGTCATCCTATTAACAAGAAGGATTCCGGTCTCTCAGCGATGAAATCGCGAGTATAAATTTCTCGCGTTGATATTAAAATGGATCCGTTCTACTCGGGTGATTCGCGGTTCATTTAACGTGGGTTCGGCGCATGAACGATATCCACGTCGAAGCTTGGTGCCTCGTCAGGCATCAAATTTTCTGGAAATCTTTCTACCTCCGGCTTCGTCGGCCGTAGAAGCTTCGGGTTGCCAGGAAAAACAGAAAACACGGATCTACTCCCGGGTAAACCGATTCGAACTGCGATGTACAGTGCGCTTAGAAAGTTCTCGACCGAATAAAGCCCCCATTGTCCATTAATGCTGAGCCATTCGTATCCATAACCGAACATAATTCTCACGATTTCGAATAATTTGAAAGTAATCGAACAGCATCGTTGAATGTTTTCCCTGCGTTTACTGTTTTATATTAATGCGG